GGAATTCTCGGAGCGTTTAAATAATCTTCACCCAGCTCTCCAGTTTACAATGGAGGAGGAGAATAATGGAGAATTGCCGTTTCTTGATGTATTGATTAAGCATTCTTCCACAGAATTGCTCACCACAGTATATAGAAAGCCGACGTTCACAGGTCTTTACACCCGCTGGGACTCGTTTTGTGACACTAGAAACAAAATCAATTTGATCAGATCATTAACTTTCAGAGCTAAAACCATCTGCTCACCATCACTATTATCAGCTGAAATTGCTAAGCTAGAGGATATTCTGTGTTCTAACGGTTACCCACTCAAAGTACTCAAGCGAGTCATGACAAGCGTTCTTGAACCTAGCCCAGATACAGCTTCTGCACAACTTGAACCTGCAACGCGTATTATCACAAAATTGCCGTGGAAAGGGCGGGGTTGCATTGCCTTCCGCAAAAAGATTAAAGCTGCAATTTTGAACTGCTATCCTACAGTATCCCCCATTGTAATTTATACAACCAGGCCCGCATTCAGGTCTATCGCGAAGGATGTTTCACCAACTCTTGAAAATAGTAATTTTATTTATAAGTATGCGTGTCGCTGTGAGCGAACGTACGTTGGTGAGACATGTCAGCGATTCTCGGAAAGGATCAAGCAGCATATCCCAGACAAGCTGTACAAGAAGCCGCCTGACAAACGTGTGGGAACAAGTGATAGCGCCATCACAAAGCATTTGCAGGCGCAACCTGAATGCATCCCGCAAGAACGCAACAGCAGCTTCAGTGTCATCACACCAGCCCGGAACAGCGCGCACAGATTCACACTGGAGGCGCTGTACATTCGCAGTTTGAGGCCAGAGCTGTGTCGACAAAAGAAGCACATCAAGGTGCTGCGGCTGTTCAAGCTGCAACCGGACTGACAACTTTATCACGTGTTTGTTCTGGTACTGCATTCCCCTCATGTGTTGTTTCCCGCATTTTTCCACTGCTCCATACATTCTTATGGTAGTGTAGTGTGAACTTGAGGCGCCTAAGAATATTCTTGCCGATTCTCTACCCCCAGTATAAATTCTGGCTTCGTTTTCGTTCTTGCTCATTCCCATGTATCTCCTGATGAAAATGGGTGAAAAGCTTTTAGTGTTATGAAACTGACAACCTTGTTGTTGTGCGTATACAAATTTTGTTCGCCTACGTCTCTATTTAAATATATATATACACTCAGACACAAGGGATCTCCAAGTTTCTCACTGTTGCTACTCTGAGTTTCGTGCAAAAGCACTCTTCAGGCAACTTACTCTTCTCTCACATCAGTATCCCTTTACATACCAGAAAAGACGAAAAGAAGCACCCTAGGTGGGAATCACAGGTGGGGAAAAGAAGCGCGCTAGCCAGTCTAGGTGGGAATCACAGGTAAAGATAAATGTGGCAAGTGTGGTAGTGTGAGCAATCGCGCAGGCCGGGTGGTGTGCATAAAGTGAAGTGTGGCAGTAGGATGCATGCACATTAGATAGCAGGAGTTCTGTATATGTGTAACAGATAGCAAGCGCAGTCTACAGTTCAGGTCACCTCCGATAGGAGGTACTTGGTAGTAATCAAAAACCTGCCGCAGTCCATCAACAAGCGCCTAACGAGCGTCTCTGCCAACCAAGAAGTCTTTGAAGAGGCTGCCCCCACGTACGCTGCAGCTCTCTCAAAAAGTGGCTTCAACTACGCACTCGTCTATAACGAGGAACCGGCGAACACGGAAGGACAAGCCAGGAGGAAAAAGAATCGAAAGAGGACCATCATTTGGTTTAACCCACCGTACAGCCAATCCGTGAAGACTGATGTTGGCGCGACATTCCTGAGACTTGTCAAGCGCCATTTCCCAGAAGGATCTGCTCTAAGAAAAATATTTAACAAAAACACGCTCAAAGTCAGCTACAGCTGTTCGCCTAACTTAGCCTCAATAATCAAGGGCCACAACGCGAAAGTCCTCAGACAGCCGGAAGAAAAGAGATGTAACTGCCGTGTCAAAGCAAACTGCCCACTCAACGGGGACTGCAACGCCAGCGAGATAGTATACGAAGCTACAGTGGACTCCAATCTCAGCCGGAAGAAGTATATCGGCATCTCCGAAACCCCGTTCAAACTCCGGTTCAACAACCACACGTCATCGTTCCGGAATGCCCCACACAGAAACAGCACAGAATTGTCGAAGCATGCATGGGCATTGAAAGAGGCAGGTGAAGGCGTCAACATCTCATGGAGAATCAGGCAGAGATCCAGTGCCTACAAAAGAACCTCGAAGCGGTGCAACCTATGCCTATCGGAGAAGATCGCCATAATGAAGAGTGACAAGGCATCGCTCCTCAACACCAGATGCAGCCTGGTCACAAAATGTCGCCACAGCACCAAGTACCTCCTATCGGAGGTGACCTGAACTGTAGACTGCGCTTGCTATCTGTTACACATATACAGAACTCCTGCTATCTAATGTGCATGCATCCTACTGCCACACTTCACTTTATGCACACCACCCGGCCTGCGCGATTGCTCACACTACCACACTTGCCACATTTATCTTCACCTGTGATTCCCACCTAGACTGGCTAGCGTGCTTCTTTTCCCCACCTGTGATTCCCACCTAGGGTGCTTCTTTTCGTCTTTTCTGGTATGTAAAGGGATACTGATGTGAGAGAAGAGTAAGTTGCCTGAAGAGTGCTTTTGCACGAAACTCAGAGTAGCAACAGTGAGAAACTTGGAGATCCCTTGTGTCTGAGTGTATAACCCCGCTCTGTCTTAGGACATTGAGCACTTTTTGCCGACGCAAGAAATACTTCTATTGTTCTATATATATATATATATATATATATATATATATATATATATAAATAGAGACATCGCAGCGATTATCAGTGGGCACAACAAGCGGCAACTGATACAAGAACCTCCTGAAAAACCTTGTAATTGTAGGAAAAAGCAGGAATGCCCCATGGAAGGACGTTGCCAGGCCTCTCACATCATCTATGAAGCACACGTCACCAGCCAGGATGAGCTCAGGACATACATCGGCTCAGCAGAGACAACGTTCAAAACAAGATACAACAACCACACGATGTCCTTCCGCCACGAAAAGTACCGCACTAACACGGAGCTCTCCAAACACCTCTGGAAAAAGAAAAACGACAACAAAGAGTATCACCTGTCCTGGAGAATCAAGGACAAGGCCAGCTCCTACAACCCCGCAACAAAGAGATGTTGCCTTTGCACCACGGAGAAGGTGCGTATACTCACTGCTGACAAGACCAAAACCCTCAACAAGCGAAGTGAAATCATCGCCAAATGTCGTCATGCAAACAAATACCGGCTCGCTAAGTATAACGGAATCACGTAAAACCGGACATGGACAGAACAACCTGATGCCCAATGGAACCAGACACACTGCACCATCATTGTTATGATTAACGCCAAATATAGCACCGTAATGGCCTTACACCTCCTGACGCCAGGCATGCGCTAGTTAACTCCATATTTACGTGCTCCATTCAGCGCTTGTTACAGTAATGGACAATTGATATCAATATTTTACACTGCCTGCACCTAGCAGTAACTCTTCACTCTCCACACTTCACGCTTTCTCTTTTTGTGCGCCTTGCTGTGTGGTTGTGTATTTCTTTAGTGGACCTGACAGCCCTGCTTTAGTTAGAAAAGTTGCCTGACGATTGAAAAACTCAAGAAACTCGGAGTAGCAACGGATTGTGTTTTCTTGGTGAGGACCGCTTCCATTGTATATAAATAGAGATGTAGGCGAACTAAATTTATATACACACAACAACAAGGTTGTCAATTTCATAATACTAAAAGCTTTTCACCCATTTTCATCAGTAGTTACATGGGAATGAGCAAGAACGAAAACGAAGCCAGAATTTATACTGGGGGTAGAGTATATATATCACCCTCTCTCTCTCTCTCTCTCTCTCTCTCTCTCTCTCTCTCTCTTTCTCTCTCTCTCTCTCTCTCTCCCTCTCACTCACTCTCACTCACTCTCTCCCCCGCTCTCCCCCTCTCTCTCTCTGTCTCACTCCCCCCTCTCTCTCTCTTTCTCTCTCTCTCTCTCTCTCTCTCTCTCTCTCTCTCTCTATCTATCTCTCTCTCTCATTCTCTCTATCTCTCTCTCATTCTCTCTCTCTCTCATTCTGTCTCTCTCTCTCTCTCTCTCTTACTCTCTCTCTATCTATCTCTCTCTCTCATTTTCTTCTTCTCTTCTTTTCTTCTCTTTTGTTCTCTCTGTCATACTGTATCTACGACCTAAGGTTGCGTTTGGTTGGGCATTTTTAGAATGTAAATGACAACCATTCTGGAATGGGAATCGGCAAGAATCACCTGACCAAACTAACGCGCCATAATCAATTAGGAATCACTTGACGTAACAATTCCATGATGTCGTTGTGGAACAGCGGCTGTATTTTCTTTTACCCGACTCTAGTTCCCTTGAGAGAGTCATGGTACTGCTGAGTGCATGATTTGAGGCACTTGAACCTGGTGCTACATTGTTTGGCTCGTGGCAGCCATTATCATTTTTGATTCCGGAATGAGAATGCCCATTCCAGCAAGAGGTGGAGTGATCATTCTCCAAAAAGAATCATTCTCAGCGATTCCCATTCTGGAATCATGTGGAATGTGACCAACCTAACGCACTTTTTTGACCAACCAAACGGGCGAGAATGATTCCGAGTGATTCCAAGTGATTCCTATTTGGGACCAACCAAACGTAACCTAAGTTTGATTTTTCACTTCTTCCCCACTCATCTACTACCATTTTCATAACCATTAAGAGAGCATGTCTCTCTTCCAAGAAATGCAGTGTATGATGGACCTACTGGACACAGCGTTCACTTGCGCATCTGCACTGATGACAGTTCACTTTCGTCCCAATGCAGACCACCCGCTTCTACCTCGTCTTGATGCCTCAAAGGCAGCTGGACAGAACTACGCAAAAAACCTCTTTTCCGATACATGCCCACCATGACTTACAGGGTTTGTAATTCGGTTGTGGCTTTGAACAGCCCGTCAGGTAGGTCAGCAAGTTGATTATAATCGAAATGTCTGGGAGAACAAAGTAGAATTTGGATAAGATGTATACTGTACGTCAAGTGTGTGGGTTACAGTGAGATCTGCGTCTCACCCACCGGTGTAGATGAGAGAGAGAGAGAGAGAATGATAGAGAGAGAGATTGAGAGAGAGAGAGAGAATGAGAGGGAGAGAGAGAGAGAGAAACATAGGGAGATGAGCAAATTAAGGAGATATATCCAGGTGACTTGATGCTGCACTATCGGGCTAATATGGTATTACAAGTACATTGATTTGTAACTAGTTGGATGAACGCATTGCCTCACGCAGAGCCTTCCAGCTCTTACAACAGGCAACTGTTGCCCGGAGCGAATGGAGATCTCCCGGATTCAGGAGTCTACCCTTCCCGGCTTTCTGCAGATCTTGATGCAGCACGCTGGGTAGAGTGACGCGTGGCCGGCCAAGCCATCTGGTGCCGTTGTTTGCGAAAAAGATTTCCATTGCCATTACTGCCGGGGTTGATGGTGGCAGCCGCAAGAAATGACCAAATAGACGCCACCTGGCACGGCTAATGAAGATGCTGATCTTCTCTATTTTGCACCTCTGGTACAGTGCTTCATTGGAGATGCGCTGTGGCCATTTAATGCCAAGGAGAGACCGCAACTGACGTCGGTGTAAGGCATCCAACTTCTGGAGAGCAGATTGCGTGAGGCCCCAAGTGCCACCGTTGTACGTGAGGACGGGTAGGACGAACGCCGAGTACTGTCGCAGGCGCAGACGCTCACTCACAGCAGATCTCCGTTTCCAGAGGTTAAACATTGAAGTGAAGGCCGCTGAAGCAAGCTGCTTCCTCCGTGCTACGTCAGCCTCGTCGCCAAGAAGAAATCCTAGTTTTCGGACCATTCTCCACTTCTCACCAATCCTTTCGTTGCTTCTGAGCGCCTGAGTATGTTCCATTTTACTTGGGTTGACACTCAGTGATCAGTTGGCCCTCTCAATATCGACTGGAAATGTAATACCATCAAACATCCAAATAATAGCTATGAAAAGTATGAATGCCGCAGACATCACCACGCAACAGGACAATTTGTTTAAGGTTTGAGATTGAGTTTCCAGAATCAATTTTCAAGCTCCGATCATCAGTGGAAATACGGAACTAAAGTGATCAAGGGAAACACAAAGGTTAAAAATCCAAAGGAGTGTGACACATGACGCGTAAGTATTACAAAAGTGAGGGCTAAGATAAAAGTAAGTGTGCCAAATGGGCATGAACAATGCAGAAACAACTCATGAACAAGGGGTGCAAACTCACGAAAATAACCTTAGTGCTACAACATGTTGTTTTTGCTTACACAAATCGCGCTTATGCGTACGAATACAAACAGCTTCAAGGACCTTCAACTGCTGGACATACCGTATTATCTCTCTTATTAACACAGGTCTCCATTATATGCACAGTTTCCATTATATGCACAGGTCAAAGGGCTGTTGAGATTACAAACGCACACTCTCCAACATAGTCACAGTGATAATACTGGAATGCAGCTGTGCGCACATAAAAGTGCTCTACGTGCGTGACTTCCACTTCCGCATCATTCTTTTTCTTCTCTCTGTTCTCCAATCATGAAATCCAAGTTAAATTCCAATTTGAGTGTTTTACCGGGATGCAACTTTCTTAACTTTTTCAAGGTTGAAAAAATATAAACACAGTCTCCAGTATTATCACAGTCTCCTCTATAAGCACGGGTGCGAAGTGGGTTGAAAAAATATAAGTACCGTGTTTATAAGGGAGAAAATAATGGTAACGGACACGACACAGTACAGATAAGTTGGAATCACCATACACACTCAAACAATCGGGACAAGATAACAAATGTAAGTCCACAGCTGACTTCTTACGAATCTCACCCTCATCAGCTCCATCACCTTCGCTGCCACCTGACTCCTCCTCGTCCGTTTTATCACCATCTCCACCAGCCGTCTCATTGTCATCCGCCTCGTCGTCATCCGCCGCCTCGTCATCATCCGCCTCGTCATCATCTGTATTTCCGTCATCCGCCGCACCAACACCCAACTCATATTCACCACCAGTCAGTCGTCTGGTACCATCCGTGTTCTCCTTCCTACATCTGTCCCATCCCACTGTCCTTAGTTCATCCCTGTCTCGAGATTGTGTTCCGTTTAGCTTCTGGCTTCTGTTCTCTTTCGATGCTCCACGTCGGCCTTGGCCATTCCTACCATATACTACGGTTGAATAATTTGCAATCGACGTCCGTGGTCTCCGGACCTCGAAATTATCAATCCTTTGATTGACGATGACGCGAAAATGCAAATAACAATAAGTAAAACCACAATTTATGATTTTAAATAGTTTTACTCGGTTAAGGAGCTAATTTAATAATTATGGTAAAAGAGGAGAGAACAACATGTTACGAGTTATGACAAACAGTCCACCAATGTGACCAGATCATATGCAGGCAGCGAGTGCGACAAAATGGCACAAAACTTACAAGGAGTACGGAGACATTCAGCAACCTGACACCTAGCTCGAACACTTCTCCAAGGCGCAAGCCAACAAATTTCTTGTTTTTTCTTGTTTCAAATTTCTTCTTGCTTGTATTCAAGGAAGGCGTTGTATACAAGGACGGTCGTACAGCAACCTGACACCTAGCTCGAACACTTCTCCAAGGCGCAAGCCAACCACGTTCCAACTTGGAAGGCTCAGGTTCGGAAAGGTCACAAGGGAAGGAAAGTATATTTTTGTAGGATAGAATGACTCCACACTCATTTATTCTATACAGTCGTACTAACTTGTACACCCTTGAGAAATGCCTCAACTCCAAAACCTACGTACAGTCAACTTCGCTAATAACCACTGCGGATATAACGACAATTCGCGAATAACGACATAATTGTCATGCCCTATCCAACTGCAACACACAATGAGACTTCAGGTATATGGACACTTCGCGAATAAGAACACTTTTCTGATGCCCCGCCGAGTGTCGTTATAAGCGAAGTTGACTGTATCTCAGTTTCTCAGCCTGAGTGACTTTTACCGGAATGAAAGTGAAAGAAACCCCATGACAGTCACATCGCCGATGGTGGGTACAGCAAAGGGTTATATGTTCAGAGATCTTCCATGGTGTTGGTAATCACAACCGGCTTATTCAGCTGAGAAACCAGATTTGTGGCAAGCAACAACTTTGGCCACCCACAACATGCCTTTCAAAGCCGCTCGTGGCTGCCTGCAGTGGCCATGTTCTTCCTTAGCAGACGGATGGTCATTCGTAGCTGCCTACATACAACTGTATCTTATACAAGGCTGCTCTTGGTTCTGCACGGGTTTCGGTACAGGCTGGATGAAGAACCACATTTGCGCTTACGTTCGTTGCGACCACCCCGTGAGCGGCATCAGATACGGTCATAAAGGGTGGGGAAGGGTACCTCAGATCAACCAACGAGATGCCACCAGGCATTGGCGGATAATGTTGGAAAAGGTGACAGATTCTGCTCGAAAAGCAGTGAAATTGGCAGACCCATACAAACCTTATGGCGGGCAATTCCTCGAATTCTGCTCCATTTCTTTATCCACATACCAAACACAAATGAAACTTACCAGAAATGGTACCGATTTCTGCCTATTTTTCTGCCGGCATTATCCGCATATGCCTAGATGCCAAATAACGAAATCCCATTCACCACATCCTAAAAGAACAGAACTAACGTTACGCCCAAAAAACGCCTTTTTACGATACATGCACAACATGACTTACAGGGATTCTAATTCGGTTGTCGCGTTGAACAGCCCGGCATGTAGGTAATAAAGTTTATTATCCCAGAAATATCTGGGAGAACAAAGTAGATTTTTGATAGGATGTATATCACTTCCTGGAAAAATACTCTTAATACTGTGCTATATACATTGGCCACATCTCAAAATAACAGAACTATTTACATTGTACGTGAAGTGTGTGTGTTACAGTGAGGTCTGTGTCCCAACCACCGGTGTAGATTCACACAAAGTGTAAGGTACGAAGTCTAAAGAAAATATTGAACGGTCTCTGCCGGGATTACGACTACACCATAGCTCATTGGTTAAAGCATCGCTGGTTAAAAGCAAGGATCCCTGGTTCGAGTCCGGGTGGTGACAGTCAATTTTTTCACTGTCCCCGCTTGTGTTTTTCCCTCAAATTAGTGAATTTTGTATAGCAGTAAAACAATTAATGTAAAAAAGAGAAGAAACACATGAGAACGAGTTGTGCAGCAACTTTCCACGACTGTAAATAGATGATAAACGGTCAGAAAGTGTGACCGGCTACTGAGACATTCAGCGAAAAGAGATGTAGTTTTAACACATCTCCAGTGCGCAAACCGACAGCTTTCCAACTTGGAAGGTACATGGTTACTTAGGAGCAAAGAGGGAAGGTAAGCGTAGCGAAAATGTGCACAAGTTAAGTCCAGCGGCAACAAAGAATGCCGACTGTTACAGGACAATGACGAGACCAGTTATTATGTCATGATAATGCGGTCTGACTACAATTCGAAGCAGCAAAGCAACACACCACCCAACTTGGGTGGGTCAGCAATATCAGCAATATATCAGCAATATCGTTAGATATTGGCGTCCGGTTTTGTACAATTCGTTTTCGCCCTTCCTTTATCTCTGATATTGCTGACACACCGAAGTTGGGTGATGTGTTGCTTTGCTGCTTCGAATTGTAGTCAGACCGCATTGTCATGACAAAATAACTGGTCTCGTCATCGTCCTGTAACATTGGGCATTCTTTCTTGCCGCGGGACTTAGCTTCTGCACATTTTCGCTGTGCTCACCTTCTTCTCTTCGGTCCTATGTAACCATGAACTTCCAAGTTTGAAGGCTGTTAGTTTGCGCACTGGAGATGTGTTAGGGCTAGGTCTCGGGTCGCTGAATGTCTCAGTAGCCTGTTAGTTTTGTGCCCTATTATCGCATTTTCTGACCGTTTATGATTTTGTTAGTCATGAAAAGTGGCTGCATAACTCGTTCTCATGTGTTTCTTCTCTTTTTTACATTTACGACTGGCTCAGTATCCGAGTATAAAACAATAAGTTATGATTTTAAATAGGTTTACTGCGAGTACTCGGATAGTGAGTCAATTTAATATTTATGGTAAAGAAGGAGAGAACAACATGTTACGAGTTATGATAAACAGTCCACCAACGTGACCAGATCACATGAAGGCAGCGAGAGCGACACAATGGCACAAAACTCACAAGGAGTACTGAGACATTCAGCAGCCTAAACCTAGCTTGAACACTTCTCCAAGGCACAAGCCAACACACTTTCAAATTGAAAGGCTCAGGTTCGGACATGTCGAAGAGGGTAGGAAAGCATATTTTCGTTGGATAGAATTACCCCACCATTCTTCTATACAGTCATACTAACTTGTACACCCTTTAGAAACACCTCAACTTAAAAACCCATGTATGTGTTTACCACTGCCTGCATGGACTTGCTAGTCCTCTTCTGCGAGATCGCTTTACTTCTGCTCTTGTTCTGCGCCCCATCCCCCGACACCTGATATGGCTTCAGTGCGATCTCTTATTTACGCGTTGACAGATGTTAAAGGGGAACTGTCACCAAATTTTTTCTTTGTCTTATCATGTAGTTCTTTGGCTCCTGATCACAATGGTGTTATTCTTTTTTCTCTGCGATGACTGGAAGTGGGTGAAAACTTGAAAAGAAGGTCCCCAAAATTGTCCCGAAGTACCGAGTGACGTCATGCCGGACTTGACCTCCACGTGTACATTCATCGTCAAAAACGAAGTCCAGCCCGTGTGCTGGTCGCTCGAGCCAACTGCTCGATGTACGGTGCATGCTTGCCTTCTGAACTCGGGTACTGATGTGTACGTTGTACACAATGAGAATGCCAAAAAGGGACAAAACAAACACAAGTCGACAGCAGTTTGTCGCACTGGTACTTCCTCCACGAAGCTCCAGCTCTTTGTTTTCGTTGTGATTACGAAGAAGTGGAAGGATCTTTGTCTGCTGTTAGTGTGACACACATACCTCGTACTTGAAAATTACGTCGTTGTATCGAAGGTGGCGGTGTTGGCCACCCGGCTCTGAAATGAAAGGCGTTGGAGTTTGCCATCTGCATCTTCAGCAACATCGCCAGCTAAATTGCCTTCACGTAGCTACATTGCGTTCCTTTGGGGCTCGGGTTGGTGGTGTTATCGCCAGCCGGAGGAGTACTGTTTTCTGCATACGCGCTCATCATCGTGTTGTTCCTCACACGAAAAGTTCAAAACAACGATGTGTAGCTGCACATGGGTCTCTGCCTCTTTGGCATTCTCCTTCGGTACGACGTACCCATCTGTGTTAGAGTTCAAAAGGCACACGTGCACCGTACCTTGGAACAGCTAGCTCGATCGACCAGCACACGGGCTGGACTTCGTTTTTGACGACGAATGTACGAGTGGGGGTCAAGTCCGGGGTGACGTTACTCGGTACTTCGGGACAATTTTGGGCACATACTTTTCAAGTTTTTACCCACTTCCAGCCATCGCAGAGAAAAACAGATAAGACCATCATGATCAGGCGCCAAGGAACTACAAGATAAGACAAAGAATGCGAGAGGGCCACAAGTTATGAGAAATCGGAGGCTTTCCCACGTTTCTCTTCCAACAAATGCAGTGTACAATGCCTCAATCTTACTACGATGGACTTACTGGACACAGCGTTCACTTGCGCACCTGCACTAAAGACAGTTCACTTTCGTCCCAATGCAGTCCACCGGCTTCTACCTCGTCTTGATGACTCAAAGGCGACTGGACCCGACGGTATTTCCGCTCCTGTCTTGAAGGAATGCCATAGGGAACTTGTAAAGACACTATCTCAGCTCTTTGCTTCCAACAAAGAATCCAGCCACGGAATTCCACTTGGAAAAGTCTTCCACAAGCGGGGTCAGATTCGAGTCGTAAAGGGTGGGGGAGGGTACATCAGATCAATCAACGAGATGCCAAATCCCGAAATCCCATTTGCCACATCGCAAAAGACAAAACTACGGGAAAAATGTTTTTTCCCAAAACATGCACACCACGACTTACATGACCTTTATTCTGGTTGTGGCGTCGAACAGCCCGGCAGGTAGGTCAACCAATTTAATACGGCTCAAATATCTGGGAGAACAAAGTAGAACTTGGATAAGATTTTTATTATTGTTATAATATATATTTGAGGGATGACCCAAAGGCAGGTAGCCATTTGAGGCGTTCTCCACTGGTGCGATATTGAATAGGTAGCATAACAGGGGGAGGGGGGGGGGGGGTAGAATAAATTAGCCAGGCACATGGAAGGAGACCATAAAACTTCAAAGGAAAGTGTGATGTGCAATTACTGCTGAGTTGTAGGAATGCCAGTGGTTTTATGGGCATGCTCATGTGTATATACTATATAGACGTAATTTCTTCTTAAATTCCTGCAGGGAGTCTGCAGCGGTCATCTTTGGTGGTAGACAGTGCTAAAGTACAGAAGTTCTAAATAGGAACATAGACTTTGATAACGATTCGTATTTAGGTAAAATTATTTGAGCCAGCGCAAGCGAAAAGGGACGTTACCCCGCTGCACGTGATTTTGAGAAAATTGCACTTAAAGTGAATCAGCTGATTTCCGGCTGTCACGTTCGGATCGAACTTGAAACTGTGCGTTTTTCTGTGGTTATGTGTGTGATACGTGATTTCTTTGGAGCAAATTCACTATGTCCATAGGAGAGTCAACATCCTACAGCTCCTGTAGAAGAAAGCCCTGTCTAAATCGACCCACATACCACGCATTGGCGATCAAAAATCGATCTATCGAGAGCGCAACCTCCGCTGCATGCGCAGCATGCGCGAGTGCGAAACGTAAAGGAACTTGCTTTCAGCGCAGCTGCTTTCCTCCCTTCGCTTTCCCCTGAGTCATTGGGTTGGCGTAGCTACTCACCATGAGCTACCGTAAACGTTTCACCATCAACGAAGCGCTGAAATCTCTCCTGGCCCGACAGAAGATGAGGCTGAATTGTTTGGTGATAGAAATATTATCAACACCTAAGAACAAAAAATTAGTGTATATAACTGCTCCTTGCCAGACTTTGACTTCATATTGCATCCTGATGATGGCAATTTGCCGAAACGTTGAAAATGATTCTGCGAAATGAAATGAGTTGTGAATTTGCAGTTTGCAGGGAATGAGCATGTGTGCTCACCAATTCTCTTCGAGTTATGAAGCTGCAGGATGCCTCACCGCTATATTTTTTAGGTGCTTGAAGTTGCCCAAATTTGCTCAGACGAGTACGATCTGATTCTTCGTCAAGGTGAGACATGTCGCAGTCGATCCACGTCGGTCCCGTGGAGAACCGGCCACATTTGAGTATGCTCAGAGAATGCGCTGATCGAGAAATTATTTGGAATTTGAAACTTACTTGTTTCTTTGTTCAGCATACTAGAAAACTGAAAACTTTAGCGGAAGATCGCAAAAACACATATTATTTAGAATTGACCATTCTGACCTCTCAATTGGATATAAGATGTAGATGTCAAGGGTTTTGTTGCCTACTGATGTCTATGTCTCTTTAGAACCAAATTTTATGACACTAGATCAATTTTTGAAATACCGATTTTGCGCCTGAAAATGGTAGGAATCCAGGTGGTTTTGGGTAGTCCGCAAAGGGTGCTACTGTCCTGGACATGAAAATCCGGTCGGTGTTCAAGCGACCCATGGGCGCTGGCCATGCAGCCGTGAGTACGCACACCGTGCACACATTCATTTCTGCGCTGTAGCGCAGCTGGTCCATTTTTGGATTGTGAACGTGAACTACGGATTTGGCTTGAATTTTGGCACGTGTCAATGCATATTGCTGGAAGTGACTATACCCGTACCCGGTACCAGTGAACTTTCCACCATTGCAAGAAAACACACAGTACATCCAGCAGAAGAAGAAGAGAGAGGGAAAGAAACAGTTGTGTTATGATTGTTTTATTTGCAGTAGCTGGGAAGCTGGGCTAGTATCTGGTGTGACCACCATTATTTGTGATGACATCCTGCAGACGGTTTGGCATGGATGTTGCGAAACTCGCCACATCGGCAGGCTGCAGCGCTCCCCAATCCAGATCCACGGCCTTTCGCAGCTCATTCGCAGTTTGGCAGTTGTGTGCTACCAGTCGTCGTTTCAGCAAGCTCCAAATGTTCTCGATCGGGTTTTGGTCTGGTGAACGAGCAGGTTGAAACGCAATGATCGGCATGCCGTTGTCGAGGATGTGCTGCTGCGCGTTAGGTGACAGAGACACAGTGCCGAGGACGTGCACCCTCGCCGGATGCTGTGACTGCTCAGCAACAGGCACAGAATTGCGAGGAAACCAGAACATGATCCGACCGTCAGGGCCGGCAGCAAAACAAGCTTCGTCGACGGATACTGTCCGGTCGAAGGTGTGGCCTCGGTGGAAGACACCCCACGCAAGACGGTGGAGCTGGTGTGCCTCTGTGAGGACGACTTTCCTATGCGGACGCCCAAAGCGATGGGCTTCTGATAGGCGCCGTCTCACCTGCCTAGCACCTACTGATTCGGCTGCTGGACCAACATTAGCCAAATCGGCTGCTGCTTTCTCCCTGCTGGAAAAGCGGTTGTTTTCAACAAACTGCTGGATGTGCTAAAAGTTCGTCAGGGCCTAGTGTGGGCTGAGCGCCACTCCCCGCTTTCGTCTTCACTGGAACACCAGCCTCGCCCTACTCGATAGTATTGTTTACCTGAACAATGCAACATAGAGAAAGGCATATTTGAGTAAATGTCGCTCTCATTCTGCTCGTATATCCATGGCTTTGATATTGTGCATGCTTACTGGGGTTTTCTTATTGCCAGTCAAGTCGTGAACGTGCCTGCTGCTCAGCTCACATCGGTAGAGCCACATGGCGACTCATCACCTCCACCAAACCCACTGCGAAGAAGAGAGTCCTGTTTGTATGAAACTTGATGCATGCAATTACTGCAGACCAGCTGAAGGAGTTCATCGCAGCAAGAGCAGGTGAGGCTGACCACAACATCCAAGTGTTTGACATAAATATATTATTATTTTTTAATCCTCCACTGTGCGTATTGTTGCCAGTGCAGCGGACGAATTGTTTCTCATCAACAAGCTCTTCTTGCCCAAGGCTGTGTACACAAGAGAGTAAAACTTCGATAAGTACACCCAGTCTGATGCCCGTGGAGATCAACAACCAGCGTAGAGGGGAAGCTTTGCGAAAACGAATTGTACAAGGCGAACGCCAAACTCCTACTGTACTCCTAATGCATGACATTGTGATAGACTAGTGGACTGCAAAACAAGTTGTCTCACACGACGTACGTTTCGCCGTATGGTTCATGGCAGCTCATCAGGTGTGCAATTTGAAACTCGGGTATTGCGCCAATAATAAATATAGAAAGGACGAAGGACATATGGAAATGAGTTAAGAGTAGCTCTGCACCACTTTAAATAGACACTAATTCGTTTTCGCAAAGCATCCCCCTTCTGTATTAATCTTTGATATTTCTCAGCCACCCAAGCTGAGTGGTGTGCTGCTTTGCTGCTTCGAATTGTACTGAGACCGCTTTGTCAAATATCCTACTGGTCTCGTCATCGTCCAGTAACAAACGACACTCTTTGTTCCGTTGGGACTGTAGCTTGTGCTCGTTTTCGTCGCACTTATCTTCCCCTCTTTGTCCTCTCCTTAACCTTGAACCTTCCGAGTTGGAACGCTACGGAGATGTGTTGAAGCTAGATGACAGGACGTCGAATGTCTCAGTACTCTGTCAGTTTTGTGCCTAGTTGTTGCACTTATAAATGCAGCCTCTGTGCTACGCGTACGAGTCCACAATGGAGGAAACAGTTCCGCACGCAGATTGATTAAATTACAGGTTATAGTTACGGGGGATTATTTCATAATATTTCTACCCCAAATCTGCGCAGAAGGATGCTCAAAGGACTAGTTTAAAATTTAGAAATGAGCCAGCTTAAAGGTTGCGAGAGGGCCGCAAGTTATGAGAACTCGGAGGCTCTCACGTTTCTCTTCCAACAAATGCAGTGTACAAGGCCTCGAACTTACTACGATGGACTTACTGAACACAGCATTCACTGGCTCACATGCACTAACGACAGTTCACTTTTGTCCCAGTGCAGGCCACCTGCTTGTAGCTCGTCTTGAATTCCTCAAAGGCGACTGGACCCGACGGTGTTTCCGCTCCTGTCTTGAAGGAATGCACCAGAGAACTTGTAAAGACGCTATCTCAGCTCTTTGCTTCCAACACGGAGTTCCACCTGGAAACGTCTTCCACGACCAACGTCAGATTCAGGTCATAAAGGGCGGTGGACGGTACATGAAATCAATCCCGAAATCCCATTTGCCACATCTCAAAAGAAGCGAACCACGCCAAAAATGCCGTTTTACGATACATGCACAACATTACTTACAGGTTTTCTAATTTGGTTGTTGCATTGAACAGCCCGACTGGTAGGTCAACAAATGGATTATCGTCCAGATCTCTGGGAGAACAAAGTAGAATTTTGATAGGATGTATATCACTTTCTGGAAAAAAATCTTATTACTCTATTTTGAAACTCGGGTATTGAGCCAATAATAAAAGTAGAAAGGAAAAGGACATATGGAAACGAGTTAAGAGTAACTCTCCACCACTGTACTTAGATACTATATACAGTCAGAAAGTGCAACAACTAGGTACAAAACTGACAGAGTACGGAGATGTGTTGAAGCTAGGTGTCAGGACGTCGAATGTCTCAGTACTCTGTCAGTTTTGTGCCTAGTTGTTGCACTTTCTGACTGTATATAGTATCTAGGTACAGTGGTGGAGAGTTACTCTTAACTCGTTTCCATATGTCCTTTTCCTTTCTACTCTATTTTGCGTGCTAGTTTGTAGGTGGAAAGTGTGGGTTACAGTGAGGGCTGTGTGCAACCCGCCTGTGTAGATTCACACAAAGTGTAATTGACAAAGTGTTAAGAAAATGTAGAACTGTTTCTGATGGGATGACGACTACACCATAGCTCAGTGGTTACAGCATCACTGGTTACAAGCGAGGGTCCCTGGATCGAGTCCTTGAGGTGTCAGTCGATTTTTTCTTCACACTGTTCCCCTTTGTGTCTTACCCTCCAATTAGTGAACTCTATATAAGCAGCTATATAAGCAGGGTTGCCAAGGACGTTTTGGGATACGTCAACCGTAGCAGACACCAGGAACCAGATCTTGCGAAACAAGAGCTATCACTCAAGCAAAAGAATATTCGTCTGAGTATCAACAACTCCACCAACCCAGCAGTCAAGGCCAATCTGAAAAGACAGCGAAATGACCTTCAACAAACCATCAGAGACAAGTGTCGAGCCAATGCTGAGGTGCTTCTGGAGGCCAACGCAGCACATATTGAGAGGCTGAAGGACGGGGCATGCATGTTTAAGGCTATGCACCTCATGAGACGACGGAAAGCCCAGAAACCGGCTGTGGCGGACGAGACTGGACGGTTTGCTGGCAGCGACGGTCAAGCGGCAGCTGTCGTCAGAAGTCACTTCATGAAGCCGTTTCTTTCAGTTGCATTCGGGTAAAAGTCAGTTAGGCTGAGAATTGTTCTCAAGGAAAAGTTCGCAACACACCGTCGCCAGTATAAAACATTAGAAAACTGTTAGAAACTGGAAAGCAGCCGACTCGCGTAGACGGATTGTGAACGCGAGAATCTAATCCTAAATTAGAAAAAAATAATCCCGCTCAAGTAACATGCCTCTGTTCTTGCACCGAATCTCACCTCATGAGACGACGGAAAGCCCAGAAACCGGCTGTGGCGGACAAGACTGGACAGTTTGCTGGCAGCGACGGTCAAGCGGCAGCTGTCGTCAGAAGTCACTTCATGAAGCCGTTTCTTTCAGTTGCATTCGGGTAAAAGTCAGTTAGGCTGAGAATTGTTCTCAGGGAAAAGTTTGCAACACACCGTCGCCAGTATAAAACATTAGAAAACTGTTAGAAACTGGAAAGCAGCCGACTCGTGAAGACGGATTGTAAACGCGAGAATCTAATCCTAAATTAGAAAAAATAATCCCGCTCAAGTAACATGCCTCTGTTCTTGCACCGAATCTCACCAGCATTATCAATATGTCTCTTAGAACTGGACAGGTTCCGCCAACCTTCAAAGTGTCACATGTCAGTCCCTTATGTGGCGACCCAACCCTGCCCCAGAACTATCGTCCAGTGTCTCTCCTCCCCATTATCTCCCGTATTCTGGAGACAATGGTAAAGAGACAGCTCACTGCCTATCTGGAGTCACACCAGCTATTGCCCGACAATTTGCTTATAGAATGCAACATTCGACTGAGGATGCACTTGTGTTAGCTTTTTAATCTATGGTCCACCGCTAGATTCAAACGAGAGTTCACTGGGCTCGTTGATATGTCCAAAGCTTTCGACCGTGTTAAGCATGAACGTCTAGTAACAGTTTTGTTTTCCCTTCGTATAGCTGGAACTGCCTGGAATGGTTCGCTGACTACATCTTAGGGTGTTTCCAGAGTGTCAAAGTTCTGGACACTGTTAGTGAATCCGTCAGTTACTCCTTGGGCCACTGCTTTTTGTGCTCTACACTAGTGAACTCCAAACCATACTGCCACCGTCGGTATGTTGCGGATTTCTGTTCGACTAAGATTTACGCGTGTTGTTGTATTTGGTTCTTGTCTGGTAGAGTTCAGTGTCTGATGTCATATATGGTCTAAGTGTACGCGCGAGTATGGTATGGTGTTTTTTCCGTTGTCTTTTTCTTGAGTCTTGTTTCCGTTTTTCTCCTCCTGCGCCCCTCCGTTTATTATTGAGAAGTGAATACTAGTATTGAAGCTAACTGAACGGTGTGTTGCTGTGTGGCGGGGGCCCGGAAGAGAACAATTTACTATTTCATGTACAGCACCAAGAACTTGCCGTTGGTATTGTCATGGACTGCTCCAATTCTGACCCTGCCATGACAAACCTTGCTACCTGGCTGGAGGACAATGGCCTGCTCCTCAACACTCCCAAGACACAGTTGCTCTTCATTCGGCAACGAGGCGCAGCTGCAATACAACTGGAGGTCTTCTGCAATGGCGAGAAATTCTGTGTGACCCCTACAGCCAAGTACCTTGCTTTAGTCCTGGATAAGGATTAATCCTGGGCTCCACATGTGGAGTATATTAGTCGCAAGACAGCGCGAACAATTGGTCAGTTCTGGAGGCTTGGACGAGGACTGAGTTTGCTTCCCCGGCGAACATGGTTTCTGAGCATGATCCTTTCCCAGCTGTGTTATGGTTCAAATCGTTTCTTTCCAGGACTTAGCGCACACCTGCTTGATCAAGTCTCCAAACTCTCCAAGACGGGTCTACAGTCAACCCTCCAACAGCGTAATCTCGTGCCCACAGCTCCTCTTCTATCCCTGCTGGTGTCCCAAGCCTACTGCAACTGCTAAATCAAAAGTTTCTGGTCCTTGTTCATCGGTGCCTCCACCACAAAGCTAGCCCCCTGCTTTAGGAGATGTTCGCAGGCACTGCTCCAGTTGGCGTCCCCAGCAACATCCGGGCAACTTGAGGGCAGAAGTCCAATCTGCTATGTGTGCCTTTTTGCCGCGGTCCCTTCGGGCAACGTTCCATCTGGTTCGTGGCAAGTGTCCAGTGGAATGCTCTTCCCGTCAGCGTCAGAACCTAGGGTGGAAAGCGGACCTTCCAGGCTCTCACACGTTTACTACCTCTAGAGGTGATTGCAGCGGAGCAGTAACTCGGCCAGCTTCTCTCACATACTGATTGATCTCTATCTCGATATCTCTCTCTCCCTCCCCTCGTCCCCCCTCTCTCACTCTCCCTCCTCTCTCCCCCCTCCCTCTCTCTCTCTCTCCCTCTCTCTCTCTCTCTCTCTCTCTCTCTCTCTCTCTCCTCTCCTCTCCCCCCCTCCCCTCACTCTTTCACTCTCTCACTCTCTCTCTCAATCTCTCCCTCTTTCTCCTTCTCTCTATCTTTCTCTCTCTATCTTTCTCTCTCATTCTCACTCTCTCTCTCTCTATCTCTCTCTCTCTATATCTCTCTCTCTCATTCTCTCTCTATCTCTCTCTCTCTCTCTCTCTCTCTCTCTCTCTTTCTCTCTCTCTCTCTCTCTCTCTCTCTCTCTCTCTCTCTCTCTCTCTCTCTCTCCCTCGTTTTCTCCTTTTCCTCTCTTTTCTCACTGTCAAACTGTATCTACGACCTAAGTTTGATTTTTCATTTCTTCCCCACTCATCTAATACCATGTTCATAATCATTAAGAGAGCATGTCTCTCTTCCAAGAAATGCAGTGTATGATGGACCTACTGGACACAGCGTTCACTTGCGCACCTGCACTGATGACAGTTCACTTTCGTCCCAATGTAGACCACCCGCTTCTACCTCGTCTTGATGCCTCAAAGGCAGCTGGACAGAACTACGCAAAAAAGCCTCTTTTCCAATACATGCCCACCATGACTTACAGGGTTTGTAATTCGGTTGTGGCTGTGAAAAGCCCGTCAGGTAGGTCAACCAGTTGATTATACCTCAAATTTCTGGGGGAACAAAGGAGAGTTTGGATAAAATGTACATTGTACGTCAAGTGTGTGGGTTACAGTGAGATCTGCGTCTCACCCACCGGTGTAGATGAGAGAGAGAGAGAGAGAGAGAGAGAGAGAGAGAGAGAATGATAGAGAGAGAGAGAGAGAGAGAGAGAGAGAGAATGATAGAGAGAGAGAGAGAGAGAGAGAGAGAGAATGAGAGGGAGAGAGAGAGAAACATAGGGAGATGAACAAATTAAGGAGATACATCCAGTTGATTTGACGTTGCACTGTCGGGCTAATAAAGGATTACAAGTACATTGACTTGTAACTAGTTGGATGAACATATTGCCACACGCAGAGCCTTCCAGCTCTTACGACAGGCAGCTGTTGCCCGGAGCGAATGGAGATTTTCCAGAGTCAGGAGTCTACCCTGCCCGGCTTTCTGCAGATCTTGATGCGGCTCGCTGGGAAGAGTGACGCGTGGCCGGCCAAGCCATCTGGTGCTGTTGTTTGCGAAAAAGATTTCCATTGCCGATACTGCGGGGGTTGATGGTGCCAGCCGCAAGATGCGACCAAATAGACGCCACCTGGCACGGCGTACGAAGATGCTGATCTCCGCCATTTGGCACTTATGGTACAGTGCTTCTTTGGAGATGCGCTGTGGCCATTTGATGCCAAGGAGAGACCGCAACTGACGTCGGTGGAAGGCATCCAACTTCTGGAAAGCAGATTGCGTGAGGCCCCAAGTGCCACAGTTGTACACGAGGACGGGCAGGACGAACGCCGACGACAGTCACAGGCGCAGACGCTCACTCACAGCAGATCTCCGTTTCCAGATGTTAAACATCGAAGTGAAGGCCGCTGAAGCAAGCTGCTTCCTTCGTGCTATGTCAACCTCGTCGCCAAGAAGAGATCCTAGTTTTTTATGGACCATTCTCGATTCATCATCAATCCTTTCGTTGCTTCTGAGCACCTGAGTACATTCCGTTTTACTTGGGTTGACACTCACTGACCCTATCAATATCAACTGGAAATGTAATATCATCAAACATCCAAATACCATAATATAATAATCTTATATTACCCAAATACCATAATAATCATTATGATTATCAACTCCCTCAGTATTTAAACTGTAGCAATAAAATCACACCATCTATCACAATATCAACATGCAATAACTATCATAACGTATCGCATTCGATATCCATACTTATCCTGCTCTATTTTTTCCGTCTTGCATGTTGCTTTCTGCCTTAACATCAGCATCTTCCATAATACCTGCTTACCACCACTCAGCATAAGCGAAATTATCAATCATTTGATTGACGATAATGCGAAAATGCAAATAACAATAATAAGTAATACAAGCTGGATCGACATTTGTGTACACTGTATTCATGTATTGTAAAACTGTGGAGACAATGTGCAATAAAACGATGAAAAATGTGAAGAAATTATGTAGAGAAAGAAAGGGATTCAAACCAGTTTTCGTACAACACTCATCAGGAATCGCCGTTGTACTAAAGGACACTGAAACAAAAATTGAACTATTATAGAAAATCTACGTTAGAGAAATAACACTAAGAGCAACAACAGTGAAATTTACAAGTGTGAATTTTAACAATCAAAGCAAGAAATGAACAAAGGAGAAAGGAAGGAAAGACAACGTGATAACACATAACAGCAGTACATTACACCTAGAACATTAACGGCCAAGCTTGGCCGCACTAAACACGACACGTTACTTGAACAATTTCAACCCAATTATACTATCTTTCTGTACACACAAATTAGGCTTGTACAGACGCTGATAGATAGCTTCCAACACTTTTAACTGTAGTCCATAACCATGACGACCACGGCACAATACAGTGAACGAAGAGTCGGAATACGCACCGCAACAATCAGGACTAGCCGGCAGGTGATTGTACACTGAAGACTTGCTACCACGAAACCTACGCACAACACTAACACTCTCACCGGCACTCTCACCATCACTCCCATCACTGCTCTCCGACTCACTGCTCCCTCCGCCGTCCGTTCCATCCTCCGCTTCCTCTGTACTCTCTCTGTCTCGTCCATCCCGCCTGACCGGGTCCATTGAACTCAACTCGGCCGTCCCCCTGCTATCACGTCCCTCCTTTCACCCTCGTCCGCTGAGTGCGTAGCTTCTGTTGTAGTTGGCTGTTGATCGTCTTGGTCTTTCAATTATAGGCTTGGATGGTGGATTAGTTGTGGTTGCTGTAGATTGCGTTGTTGGTGTTGGTGTGGGAGTTACTGATATGCAAGGTGGGTCTTTTTGAGTCGGCATTTGTAGTGTTAATGCAGCTGTCAGTGTTGCTCGCGGTCTGTCACTGGCAAGCTCCACCGCCGCAAGAACCGATGGCGGAGGATCAGGAGGAAGCAGTGGGACCGGGACCGCAAGCGGCACCGCCTCAGGCAAAGCCGCCGGGGGCACTGACGAGGGAACCACCGACGGCCGGAGCAAAGGCGGCGACACAAGCCGACCCGATGAGCCACGCAGAAGTCACGCAGGGCTTTCATGTGTTCCTGGCCTAAGGAAAACGATCCCTTGTCTGGAAGTTTGTCCACATGCTCCTCAGCCTCAGCTCGGATCTTTGCAGCGCATATTGATTGTTGGGCCTCCGATATTGGCGTAAAGCGTAATAATTTCGACGAATCGTACAACGACGATTCCTGATGAGTGTTGTACGAAAACTTGTTTGAATCCCTTTCTTTCTCTACACAATTTCTTCACATTTTTCATCGTTTTATTGCACATTGTCTCCACAGTTTTACAATACATGAATACAGTGTACACAAATGTCGATCCAGCTTGTATTACTGATTGCGGTTATCAAATTGTTGTCTCCTCGCCATTTGTTCAAATATTTTAAATCGAGATACACCCAGCCTCAGATAGATATTCTGAACTAACGCTGAAAGCACGTTTTCATTACCGTAGTGTCGCCCTTAACGTAGGTTTTCTTAGACGATGTTTAGACAATGGCGTATGTCCTAGCGGTGTAGAAAAGCGTGTTCACCGAGCCAAGGCATACCACACGTTGAACATTGAGCGCGTTTTCATGAAGGATGAGATTGCCAGGTCCGGTGACACAGTGTGCAAGTCTCGTTCCCAGTTTAGGTCTTTGCATGATCGTGCACGTACATTTTTGTCATCTCATGACTTCCTCCGTTTCTCAATGCTCCTTTCTGAGAACGACCAGAAACAACGAATAAAACTTATTACCAAACATGACAAGACATATAACTGGCTCAGAAGGAAACGTTACGGCCAAGTTAACATCGATCCCGACACAACCATAATCAACTTAACCCCATTGGAATTGACTACCGTGCAGAAGGAGCTCCTTTGCCGTGGCACTGATTTTGGCGTTCCCCCATCATCAAAGAAAAGGAAGTTATCATGACCGAGTTCGAATTGTTTTATCGAAAGTTATTACGCATTACGCCAATATCAGAGGCCCAACAATCAATATGCGCTGCAAAGATCCGAGCTGAGGCTGAGGAGCATGCGGACAAACTTCCAGACAAGGGATCGTTTTCCTTAGGCCAGGAACACATGAAAGCCCTGCGTGACTTCCGCAAAAACACTGAAATTATCGTCACGCGCCCGGACAAAGGGTGGGCTACAGTTCTGATGCTCAGAACTGATTACATAGACAAGATGTCTGTCATCCTAAATGACACATCAAAGTTCCAGACCATCGGCCCGGTTGAAAGTTTTGATCGAACAGAGAAAGTAGAAAAAGAACTAGTAGCTTACCTAAAGAAACTGAAAGCCGACGGAGAAATATTCTCCAATGATTTCGATCGCATAAAACCGACAGGCACGCTCCGGCCTAGGCTATATGGCTTACCAAAAATACACAAGCCCACATGTCCAGTACGTTCCATCCTTTCTATGACGGCCTCGCCTCAGTATTCTAATTCCAAGTGGCTGTGTATTTACTTACAACCAGTGCAGGACCACTATTGCAAGCGCACTGTAAAAGACAGTTTTGATTTCGTCGAAAAGCTCCGCAACAAGCCTGTACCACCAAACGCACACATGTGTTCGTTTGACGTCGTCAGTTTATTTATTTATGTACCGATTGAAGAAACTGTCGACATCTGCATGGATGTTTTGTTCCGTAATGATGACGTTGACACTCCTTGGATATTTGAAAGTGCGTTTAGACGATTGTTGTTGCTGGTCACAACTGGAGTTGAGTTTTCGTTCAACAATGTCATGTACAAACAAGTCGATGGTGTCGCGATGGGTTCGCCCCTTGGTCCAGTATTGGCAAACGTGTTTGTCGGTTACTGTGAGTCGAAGATTGATGATTCATTGTGGCCTGACCTTTATGTACGTTCCGTGGACGACTCATTCACATATTTTAATAATGAGGAGCGTAGTAACGAGTTTCTGGACGTGTTAAATGGTATTCACCCTGCCCTTCGTTTCACATGTGAGCATGAACAGTCCAACAAGTTGTCATTTCTGGATGTGCTGGTGGAAAAAACGAGTAGTGACGTTCTGACAACCGTTTATCGTAAGCCGACGTTTACTGGTCAGTACATTGTATATGACTCTTATTGTTCGTCTCAATATAAAGTAAACTTAGTGCGTAACCTTGTAGACCGTGCGAAGCGTATTTGTTCGTCCTGTAAGCTGCAGGAAGAGCTTGACTTTCTCCGGTCAGTTTTCGTTAAGAACGGTTGCCCTGAGTTTTTGTTGCAGAAGTTGTTGAAAGTCGAACAAACTACTAAGGCTCCTTTGTTTGGTCCTGCTCGTTGTCCCGTCTATTTATGTTTGCCTTGGAAAGGACAGGAGTCGACTAAAGTTTGTAGTGCAGTCAAGTCCGTTGTTCGTCGAACATACTATGCAGTACACTTTGTGCCAGTTTTTACGACGATGCGTGCGTTTACGGTGCGGAAGGATGTCATACCAGCCCTTCACCTTAGTCATCTTATTTACAACTTTGAATGCCGACAATGCGCTAGTC